CTGTAAAACATGTATTAATGGATTTATGTTATAAAATTAATAAATATATGTAATTTTTTACCATGGCATATAGTTTTAATTAAAATATTTTCATTGGTTAATTTAAATTATATGTTCCTTAAAAAATTATTGAATAACACATATAAATTTTTCACCAAATATCTACTCAATAATATATAGAGGATTAGTGACACTTTTGAAAAAAAAACTAATTGATAGTATTTTTGATTAATTTTGAAAAGTGGATTTCTCAAAAATTATATACATTTAAGTGTCATGCAAATTAATTTTTATAAAATAAAATATGGGAGATATATATCATTTGATTTTTGTTCTTTTTTACTTTCTCCCGTGTATTAACAAATAATTAATTTTTATTTTTGAATATTTTAATCATGCGTTTGACGTGAGTAAAAAAATTTAGTAGTTAGTCTTATTGAAAATAAAATAAGATATTTTCACATAAAATCTTCTATATTAATTATCACATATTCGTTGTTTCCATATTCGTTTGACGATTATATATTGTATATATGATATAAATTTGGTTTATGTTGTTGGGAAAAATTAATTCCTAAGTTGGACCTGTTGAGAAAGTCACATGCGGCCGAGGTCCAAATGACATAGGTCCAAATGTTGCTGCTTCGAATCCTATGATATATACGATGTTCGAATCCCACGGGAATGAGGAGCTACGAATCCTACGGGATACATACGAATTTCCATATAATGATAGATACGAATCTTTGACGAAGAGAAAAGTTGAGAACCGACCAAACGGCCAAACCCTCACCGACCTATGAACATATATAAAGGAGGGACCCCGAAGGTAACCAGACACGGCAAAAAGGGCAACACAGCTAAAAACCCTAGAGACCATATTCTCGCCGCTTCCACGAATAAGCAACGAGACTACAGCAGAGCTCCGATTCCAGCAAATCGGACCTCTTCAACTCCGAAGATCTTTCTTGAACAACCGTCTTACGCTTTCAATTTATTGTAGCTTCGAGTTTGTTGTTCTAAGATCACTCATCAATAAAGAAAGATTATCCTCTATCGTTCCGTAGTTCTGTTTATTCAAACGTGCTAAATTTACCCGAAACAGTTGGCGCTAGAGGGAGGAGACATATTTAACTATGTGAGATATGACGAACAAGAATAATCTCGAAGGTACGATAGGAGGCAACAACACCCAAGATCCCACTGCTCAACTGGCAGAACTCACCGCCCAGATGAAGCAGACAGAAGAACGAGCGGCGTTGCTCGCGGTAGAGAACGCTACGTTGAAAGATACAAAGGAATCTCTACTTGTTGAAAGCAGAAACACCGAGCTCGAAGCTCGGAATCGATTCTAGAGACATGTCGATCCCATGCGGTCACTTGATGGAGCTACTCCAGCTGCGGATGCAAGGACGGTGATTACACCAGCTGAGGATGCAAGGACGGTGATTACACCAGCTACGGATGCTAGGACAGTGAGACTACCAGTAGCTGGTGTATTTGCCGCAGATGCGGCTAGAGATGCGGTTCGGACGCAAGTCATCTAGTCTTTGCTTAACCCTAGCGAAGCAGCAACAACCCGGTCAACAGAAGATCCACACTGGGTCCTCAAACGTCTTGACGATATGGAAGCGATGATCAAGCGACTTCCTGGTGTAGCACCACCGATAACAAAGAGCGCTCCAAATTGTTACGCAGACACTCTGTTCACGGACGAGATGGCTCTTGTGGAGATGCCCAAAAGATTTGTAGTACCTTTAATGAAGATGTATGATGGCACCGCAGATCTTGACAATCACATAGCGTAGTACAAGCAACGGATGTTTACTACTGCAATCCGATGGGAATACCGTGAAGCTAGCATGTGCAAAGGGTTTGGTTCGAGTCTTACCGGACCAGTTCTCCTATGGTTTACGAACCTACCAAACGGATCTATCGATTCTTTTGCTTCACTAACTGATCATTTTGTTGAACAATTCGCCAGTAGCAGAAACCTTGAGAAGACATCAGACGATCTCTATGAGGTGATCCAGAAGAAGGGAGAATCACTACATAGCTATGTGGGACGATTGAACAAAGAAAAAGTATCAATACCAAGCTGTGTTCGTGTACCGCCATCTCCGCCTTCAAGAGAGGTCTACTCCCCGACAGTGACTTGTATAAAGTGCTGACAAAGTACCAATGTAGGACGATGGAAGACGTGTTTCTAGAGCATGGGCACAGATAAAGTGGGAAGAAGACCCTGCTTATCGTCATCGACATTCTCCCCGATCCGAATCACGAGCATAAGGAACGAACGATCTACGAGAGACGACAAACCCTACCATCGACCTCCAAGTGAAAACACTAGTAGCAGAAGTGATGGTCGAAGCGATAACAGAAACTCTCATCGACTGCTCAACAAGGTAGACATCGACAAGCGTCCAACATCTACATGGCCAGATATGAGCAACCTTTCAATATATTACGCAGAATTGATAGGAGCATTGAAGCAATTAGGTGGAACGGTGAGGTGGCCTCAAAAATGAAAACTCCAGGCGACAAGCACGACACTTTGAAGTGATGCGATTTTCACGAGGATCATGGCCATCGAACCGAAGACTGTGTCTCACTGAGGATGGAGGTGAACAAATTGTTGAAGAAAGGTCACCTACGAGAATTCCTATCGGACAAAGCTAAGAATCGCATCGATGATAGGAACAACGACAGAGGTTCTAAGAAACCCGGTCCTGCCTCACCTCCAAAACTCGACAAAGTTATCAATGTAATATTAGGAGGTTCGGAGATTAGTGGGATTACTCAATCAGCTGCAAAGAAAAGCACAGAAGTGCAAAGAATCGACAGAGCAACGACATAGTCAGACGTGAAGGGATATCAACTTGCTCAATAAGCTTCACTCATGATGAAAGCGCATGAGTACTAGCTCCACACGATGATGCACTTGTCATATCTTTGACAATTGCTAGCAGTCTGATGAAAAGAGTACTTATCGACAATGGAAGCTCTACGAATATTCTCTACTTGGATGCTTATAAAGAGTTGGGTTTGGACGAAGCTGGATTGACGAGAAAATCTACACCATTGGTAGGGTTCAGTGGTGAAGTAAAACAATGTATGGGAGAAATTATGTTACCTGTGTACGCAGAGGGAATCAACAAACAAACTAAGTTCTTGATAGTTGGTTGCGCTTCGGGCTACAACGCCATCATGGGACGTTCATGGATTCCTGACATGGGTGGAGTACCTTCGACCCTCCACCAAACTACCAAATTCCCGACTCCGTGGGGAGTTAAGGAAATCAGAGGAGAACAAGAGAACTCATGTTCCTGCTATCAAACTCGACGAGGAAACGCTATCAGAACACAGTCCTGATAGAAAAATACACGTTGGATCGAAGCTATTGGTAGATATGCAAAGAAGACTTATTGACTACTTATTGACTTTCTTAGGTCCAACTGTGATTGCTTCGCATGGTCACACGCTGACATGCCAAGAATTGATCCTGAGGTCATCATGCATAAACTACAACTCAACCCAGCAAGGAGATTGGGTCTAGTCCTTACTTCTTTGTACTGTCCTTCAAGGACTA